AAGCCACGGAAGGAGTGCATGCTGCTCCATCACTTCAGCCAACAGCAGATAAGGCGATGAAGATGTCTATTGAGGATTGGGAAAATATACTAGGTTTTACTGGTAAAAGTTCAGCACAAGTTGCTTTTACTGAGGAAACTTTAAAAATGACATTATCTTGTGAGGGTGATACAGGAGTTGAAGTTCCTGCCAAATCTTCGACAATTGCATCATCAGTTGAATGCCTAGAATTTGACCCTTCTATGCAAGAGGGGAAAACTATAGATTTCACAGATCATGGTGCTAACACTTTGAATGTTCCATCATTAACTTGTTCAATTTACTCTACTGAGTCACAAGAAAGTGTTCCTGATTTTGACGAAATAAATTCTAATGCAGCAGTTCCAGCAGTATCAAATGGTATGTTCTCCCTAGTCTTAAGACTGGTATATCTTCTTGTTGGTTGTTTGTATGATGCTATTTTTTCCCCTTTTTGTACAACTTTTTCTCCCTCAATCAGAAAAGTCCCATTTGATTTTGTAACCTCTTTAGTTTCTTGTCAATTTTATATGGCAATACTTCCTTGGTAGCTCTGGCTACTTTCCTTTTTTTCTGCTTTTGTGCTGATAATATAATCGTTCTGTAAGTAGTAGCTCAGTTAGAAAGCATTGCTTTGACGGACTAGGTAATTGCTGTATGTAAAACTATTTATCAAAAAAAAAAAAGTTGTACAAGACACTACATAGAATTGATAATTGATTTATGCTGACCATACATCACTCTTTAGTGTGCGCTTAAGTTCTTTTCTTGGTTAAGCTATCATTCTTTGTTTGACATGCATAAAGGAGAATTGTAAGATTGAGAAATCATTGGCATTGGCCTTTAACATCTGTGTTTCTAATGGATAAACAATGCAGGAGCGTCTGTGGATCATCTTGTAGATGAACCAGTTATTGACTCGGTTCCTGAAGTGGCATTTGATGGAAATTGTGTTCTGGTGGATAAAGATGATTTTTTTTCACGCTCTGAATTCCATGGAGCTCATATCTCTCACAAGGTCTTGCCTCCTGCCTTCCCCTTGATTTTATATTTTTGCATTGGATGCCACTTTTTCTTCTAACAAATTAATTTGTTTCATATCACCTTCCTTTGTTTGTATGTGTGTAGTCATTTATTGTTTTGCTTTCAGAAAAATATGGCAATGCTAAAGGTGAAACTAGAAAAGCAGAGAAACAAGGACGCAACCAAATGTGAGGATCTCATTGTGGAATTAGAGGAATCAAATGCAGAAGGCAAGACAATATCTTCTCCAACTGACAAGTTGGAATTGTCACAAGAAGGCTTTTATGAATCAGACTGGGAGATCATCTAAACAGATGAGCTCATCCAGCGACAATCATCACGGCAAATAGGCTTCAAATGAAGCAGTTGAGAGAGATTTAGTAATAAGCTCCAAACGGAACTTCCTTAACGATTTTTTTGACATTCTTTAGTCAAATCAGATTAATCTGCTTTTTCTGTTTTCTCATTGACTATAGTTCTCGAGATGAATGCTTCATATTTTTTTTATTAATGAGTATAAGTAATTTTTTTGCCTCGGTTATTATCTTTTCGTTGTAGGTAAATTTTGTGTCATCATATCGTATTATAACTCAAGTTACTGATGACGAATGAAGCTTTAAACTTCTGGTCAAAACTAGTTCATTTAGCCACCCTCACCATTTTTCTAAAGTTGTAGCAACATCATTTGATACAATGTCTCATCACCCATATTTTAGTAACCCGCTCATATTTTAATGGGTTGGGTGAGTGACTTTTTACATGGGTAAAACCATATTCAACCCATAAAAGTATGGGTAAAATATGGATTAGCCAAATGAGTTAAGCTTCTAACTTTTATTCACTCAAAATTCATGATATCACCAAAAATATTGTAACTTCTCTTCCTTTTTATCTTCTTCTATAAAACTAATTATTTTTCTTTATAATTGAAAAGGTGAAGTCTTTGGCCCTCCAAAAATAAATATTTTAAATGTACATTTCTTTTGTTAATTATAATTATATTTTTTTATTTGTTTAATTTTATATTGGATAATAAGCAAATCATGTATTATTGACATCGCTTAAAGTGCATTAAGCATGTTTTAGTTCTAAAATGCAAATATTTATTTATTTTGAAATTAAAAATATGTTCTCCTTGTTATTACATAAATTTATTTTATATTGAAAAGTTATAGGATTTTTTTATTTTTATGATACAATAAAACTAGATGAAGCATTTTCAACATTTTTCATCTAAAAAAAAAACTAAAATATTTTCTCCATGTTGAATTCTTAAGTAGAGTACTATTTACTCATGGAAATATGAGTAAAATAAGGGTAAACTAGTATTTTACCCAACTCATTTGTTACCCAATCCATTTTTATCCATATCAAATAAGGGCCGGTTGAATTATTACCCATTTTATGTTGATCCATTTTTAACCCGCTCAATTTAACCCAATCCACCCATTTGCCACCACTGTCGCAAATGTTTGTATCTCCAAATTCCCTAATTTCAACCATTCTACCATGAAGAATCAGTGAAGGTGTGCTTATAGGAATGTAGATACTTTTTTAGCTACAAATAACAACTACGCTTCAGTTGGAGTGGCAATGTGAATTCTCACTTCTCTTTTAGCTAACATATGTATCTAATTCGATACGATTCTCAGTGTCATACTTGCGCATTTTATATTATACACCCAAATAAATCATTTTCTCTTCCCAATTATTAATTTGCTTTAATAATCAATCTCACTATTCAACTTCCCATTATTTGCATTCTCCTCGCCCCTTCTATAATTTCAAGCAATATCTGTTTAGCTCCTTGAATATCAATCCACTCTGAGTTTTTTTTTTTTTTTTTTTTTTTTAATATTGTAATATATTCATTTTGTTTTCAAATTATATGTTTTATTTATAATTAAAATGATGATATCTTTTAATTTAATTCCTAAAAGAGCAATCTTTTTGGTGATTTTATGAAATACAAATATATATACTGTCACACCCCTTATTTTCCCTCAAAATTAATTTAAGTATGTTTTGAAAGAAAAAGAGTTTTTCCAATTAAAGTGACATTCTGAAAAGGGATTATTTTGTTATTCATAGTCGCCACTTGGAATTGAGTTTTGGTGTTCCAAGTCACCTTATTATTTAAATCCCTAATCAAAAGGAAATTTGTCTCTTTATTTTTATTGGTCTGCGAATTAGAAATTCGGGTAAGGAATTCTGTTGACCAAAGGGAAGGTGTTAGGCACCCCTCGAGTCCTGTGATTCTAACACGATCGCTTTATTGACTACATATATGACTTAAATTAATTTTTGGATATTGTATTATTAGCTTAATAATAAAAGTTATTTACCTCATTATTTGATTTATTTTAAACCTATTTATATTATATTAATATATGTTCGTTAATTAAAAAAATGTATATCACATAAATTTATTTAAACATAATAAATTAAAGTTAATAGGTGGATATTTACAAATCTTGAAATGTCTTGTAATTTCTTTTCTTCTCCTTTTCTTTTTCATGTATTTGTATTTATTTATTTTTTATTGTGGATAGAAAATATGTAGGTATCTAATTGCTAGGAATTAGAATTTGTGTAGGATTGAGATTTTTTGAGTTTGAGTATTTTAGGATTGTATTTTTTTTTTAGTTAGATTTAAAATAGGAATAAAATTTTATGTGATTTGGAATTAGTTTTAGCAAGAAATTCTAAATAGATTAGGATTATTTTTAGAAATATTTTTCCTTCTTAATTTTTACTTTCTTTTTTTTTTAAAACTTTTTTCTTTCCTTTTTTACGTTTTGGTTTTATTAATTTATATTTTTATTAAAAAAAAATTCATTCTGTCTCTTTGTATTTTTCTTTTTTACGTTTTTTTTTTGTTTCTTTCTACTTTAACCTTTATTTTTATATTTTTTATTCTTTTTGGACATTCTGTTTCTCGTCTTCTTCTTTTTCTTTTTTTTAATTGTTTATTTTATTTTTTGTTTTAATCATCTTTTTTTTTTGTTTCCTTTTCTTTATATTTTTTATTATTATACTTTTTCATTTTTACATTATGTTCCTTTATTTATTTTTTGTTCTTCTTACTTTTTTTGGTTTAAATTTTTTTTTGTTTCTGTTACGCTCTATTTTTATTATTAATCTTTCAGTTTGCGTTTGTTCTGTTTTTATTTTTTTATATTTTTTTTTCTTATGCTTTCTCATTTTTTAAAATTAGTTTTCCTAATTATTCATTATTTATTTTTTACCATAAATCTCTAAATAAATATTCATGTATCCTCTTAATTATATACCTTAATAATTCGAATTAAAGCGATAATCATCTTGACGCTTATTCTAAAGGCAAACTATTTTTTATTAAAATAATATATTAAAAAAAAAAAAACTAAAACACATTACGCATAGGTTTTCTAAATCACCAATCAATTAAAATTCAGTTTATATCCTAATCTAACAAGTCTACAAATAATTTCAACAAAATTTTCTTAAGTGAAAACTAAGGTCCAAGAAATATTAATTATTCAAAATTAAATATCACGAAACTAATTTCAATATTAATTGCATCTAAAGAGCATAAAACAATAATTAAAAAAATGTATGATGCATCTTTTATTTTTATTTTTATATTATTCTAAAGCAAGAAACGTAAACGGTTACGTTTTTCTAAGCATTCATAAATTCATCACAAACAATAGTAGATAATAATAACATGCGACTCATAAAACTTCATATTATTGGAATCAAATTTCGTACGAGCATTCCAACTACATTATGCGAGAATTTAGGGTTACCTCGCTGCGAAAATTAATACCACAAAAACAACTGCTACGATCTACTGATTTCCAAAGTTAATAGCTAATATTAACTTTAAAGAGCCACGAATCCGAAACCTTGAGTGAAATCTTGAACGCTGACTTAATTTTCAAAATAAAACTCACTTTTTGTTTTTTTTTTTCTCTCTATGTTTCTGTGTATATGTCTATTACTTGGAAAGTGATTCCGAACTCCACTGGTCCAATTGTAACAATTAAGTATATTTCACCAAGAGTGTCCCATTTTGCGCCATCAAATGCACGCACACAGACATTGTTAGTACGAATTCTATCCGTGTTGATTTTCAACCTTTGTAGAGTAGAAAGAGGGCATATGTCTACACCTGATCCTTCATCGACCATGACCCTCTTCACATAGTGTTCTTCACATTTCACGGTTAAATGTAACGCCTTATTATGCCCAGATCCTTCCAAAGGCAATTCATCATCAGTGAAAGTGATTCTATTTACCTCAAATATTCGGTTGGCCATCTTTTCCAAGTGATCCACCGTGATACTTTCTGAGATATGTGCCTCATTCAAGATTCTGGTCAAAACTTCACGATGCTCTTTAGAATGTATGAGTAATGACAACAAGGATATCTGAGCGGGTGTTTTCCTCAATTGATCAATAACAGAATAATCTTGAGCTTTCATCTTTTTCAAGAACTCTTCAACCTCCTTCTCAGTGACATGTTTTTTAACCGACAACTGATTTTCTTTGGCTTGTTTGTCCCTTATTAATTCTTCTGGAGCATAACACCTCCCAGAACGAGTTAATCCTCTTGTTTCATTTGTTTCTTCAATAATCTCCTTTCCCTTGTGGGTAACAACGACTTTGTTGTAGTTCCATGGAACGATCTTGGTGTTTGTCATCAGAAGTTGCATTGCAATTTGTATCACAATTGGCTTTTTCACACTTTCTTGATTTTGACCAAATGTTCGAAGCTTACCAAGAATGTATAATTTTGGTCCATTCAACGATACTTCTCTTCTTTTTACAGCTCCAGGGACATACAACACTAGTTTTCTCGAGTCTCCAAAATTTGAACTTGCACCATTCACAATTATCGGTGCCTTTTGTATGGGTTCTAAAACCATACTCGACTCTTCTTTTGAATCCCTGCTTTCCATTTTTGTTCTACATGTTTGCTCACAATCTTCATAAATGTCTACCATCCCCACAACATGCTCTTTATTGTGAGTAGGGAGTGGGTTATTGGTGACACTTGGCGCCTCCTCATTGCGTATCTCAATTACCTTATCCTCAATCAACTTCTCAATGACTCTTTTTAGAGTCCAACAATTCTCTGTGCTATGACCTGGAGTGTTAGCGTGATACTCACATAAAACAGGTGGATCAAAGCCTCTTGCATTCGGATTGACAGGTTCAACCAATCTCAATTGTACTAATTTCCGCAACAAACTCATATATGACTCTCCAATTAGGGTAAAGTTTTCTTTCCGACCTTGTTCTCTTGTATAATCCATTCAAGGACGTGGATTATGGGGTGCCTGAAAATTTTATTGTTGGGGGCGAGAACCTTGTGGGGTAGGTGCCCACCATTGTTGGCGCTGAGGAGGTCGGACATATGCTTGAGTGTTGAGAACTGCATATTGGGATGGGTAATAATGTTGAGGAGAATTAGATTGTTCTTGTTGGACTTGAACATAAGGGTGGTTCATGCCCATTTGAACACCTCTCGATCCAGACGTCATCATGGACCCTTTTTCCTTCTTTTTTTCGATTTACAAAATTACCTGACCCGTTTTATATTGCTTGCGTGGTAGCTCTAATGGCTGTCTGGCTTACAATTTTACCCGATTTTATGCCGTTCTCTACCATTTCTCCAATCTTAATTGCTTCGGCGAAAGGCTTTCCCATTGCAGCGAGAAGGTAATTAAAGTAGTCAGGTTCTTGTGCCTGGAGAAAAACATCAATCAATTCATAGTCTTTCATCGACGGTTTGACTTTAGCCGCCTGCTCCCTCCATCTTATGGCATATTCCCTAAAGCTTTTAGACGATTTTTTCTTCATATTAGCTAGGGAATTGCGATCCGGAACGATATCGATATTGTATTGGAATTGTTGGACAAAATCTTGCGCCATGTCATCCCATACATGCCATCGAGAAATATCTTGATCGATAAACCATTCTGAGGCTACACCCGTTAGACTTTCTCCAAAGTAAGCCATAAGAAGTTCTTCTTTTCCTTCGACTCCCCTTAGCTGATTACAAAATCTTTTCAAATGAGCCACTGGGTCGCCATGACCATTATACTTATCAAACTTTGGAGTTTTGAACCCTATAGGCAAGTGAACATCTGGAAACATGCATAAGTCCTTGAACGAGACACTTTTGTGTCCTCCCAACCCTTGCATATTCCTTATGTTTTGCTCTAAACTCCTCATTTTTCTTGCAATTTCTTCATGTTCCTCGTCCTTAATGGTTTTTTCAACCTCGACGGGGGAACTGTATTGATGAGTGTGGTGGTAAGAATCAGGAATTTTGAAAGTCAATTTAGGGGCCTGACCTTGGCCATATTGATCTTTGGGTGTAAGATCATCATTGGATTTTTGTACTAGTGTTGGTTGAGTAATTGCATTAGTTTGCACAGTTGGCATGAAGAGTGAATTATTCATCATGGGTGGATTCAATGGGTGTACCGAGAAAGTTCCAGCAGTATTAGATGTGTTAACGTAGGGTCCAAATCTAGGTGGATAAATCGGGTCACTTGTTGAGACTTGAATGGGGAATGACATATTCACATTCAGGTATTCCCGAATTGAAGATGGGGGAGCCTGCCCATTCATCCAAGCTTCATACATTTCGGCCATCTGTTGTCTCAACATTTTTACCTCTTCTACAGATACTGACTCTTATGCAACCATTTGATTTTGGACTTCGTCATTTCCCGACTCTGTTCCGTCTTTGCGTGTCATTTTTGCCTTCCCTTTTGATCTTGTGTTATATTGATGAGATGTCAGCTTTCTTCACAAACCAGCCACCTTTAAACTATTTCTCTCTTATATATAAAAACAAATGTGTTAGGATTCAACACTTTGCAATATTAATCACACGTTGTATGTTATGCACCTAAATTATTCTTATTTCTACAATGAGTTTTGAAAGACTTTAATGTTTCATCCCGTCTTTGGACGACTTGCTTATGTCTTTTAGTCCCATACTTTACTCATCTGAATATTTTGAACACATTTTGATCGAACCTGTTGAAGGTTGCCTACGTATCATGTTGAACATGAATCAGATCATTACGTAGTTCGTGAAGAAGAATTATTAAAAAAAAGAAAACACGACATTTATTTATATGAAGACATCATTCAAATCAAAATATTCTTAAAACAAATGACCAAAACGTCAAAGTACTTAAAGATTGAAACAAACTTCGACAAAAAATGAAAATAAAAGAAATAATAATAATAATAATAATAATAAAAATCCTTCTCCAATATTTCTCGATCATCAATTGCCCCATAGGCTAGAGTAAACCTTGAACAAAGCTTTTGGCAGATGTGGGGCCAGTGCACGCGCATGTCGACCCAGGCTCTCATTACTCCGATGTAGATAACCATCATAAACATCAATCAAGCTCTCTGTCAGTTGAAGCACTTGTCCTTTGGCCTCCTCCATATTCTCGTGACAATTCTGCAACCATTCTTGAGTAGTACCAATCGTGTGGGTCAAATCCTCTTCATGTGCCTGAAGCTCTTCGATTTGATTATGAAGTTCTTCACGCTCCCCCATTCATTGGTTTCTCTCGATCGCGACTTCTGCTTGATACGATGTGAAATGCTTTGCTATGTCTGTTTCTCGTCCCATCGAAGCTTTTAACTGATTTTGTAGTCTAGCCTGTGTGTGTATTAAGAGGGTTTTTTCTTTTTTATACTCCTCCTCTTGTTGCTCCATAGCGCCTGTGACAATGTCTAAATCCTCATGTAAGGTTCGAATGGTGGGTTGATGTTCCTTTTCAGCCCTTTTCTGAATTAACCTAACTCTCTCTTCGAATATTGTATCATGTTGAGCCAACTTTTCTCTAGCATTCTTTAGATCATTACTGAGGATATCCAGAGTAGACCTGTAATTTCTTTCCACCTCGAGCCGAGCTTGCTTGATTCTGACTTCAATTTCCTCTTCTCGATCTCTGAGTTATCGCGCTGATCCTTCGGGCATTACTTTGAGGGGGGCTTGATCAAAGAACCAATGGAGGTATGAGGGGTCTACTTCTCCTTCAACACGATCGTCTACCATAGCTTTCGAGCTTAAAGTTCGACTATCACCCTAAATCTTTTGAGCTTCTGATTCTCGATCTCGAACTTTAGACGACACCTCCCATACGAAACTCTGTGTATCCTCGGCCCGAGGTAAGATTTGTCTTTGTCCTAGTTGGCGTAGCACCCGAAGGGGTATGTATGGTTGGAATCCTCGAAGGCTTGTCAGAACAAAGAATGGACGATAGGAAGACATAACAATTACCTCACTCACAGGGAACCAATGATAGTTCCATGTAATATCAGATGCAGTTAATTTAAGAAGATAATGTCTCCACGCTTTGACACCTTTTGGTAATTTGTCTACTAATTCTTTCATCCTGTCTGGGTGGCTTAAAATATAATTCGTCCATTCAGATTTGAAATCTGTCGCAAAACGATGGCGATATAAGTGCTCCAAAAACCACATTTACAATAGAATGCTGCAACCTTCAAAAAAGTCTTCCCCTTCCCTACATTTAGTCAAAGCACGATAAATGTCAGCCCACATCATTGGCAAGATAGTGGATTTCTTTTTCTTCATCATAACAACGACTATTCCCGACAAACGAATATTGATTTTTTATCCCTCTTTGGAAAAACCATGGTTCCCAAAAAGGCCACCATGAATGCTTCTTGTTTATGCTTTTCCCAAGTAGGGAGGTGTTGCCCATTTTAAAGTTGTTTCCCGTAGTCTGAAAATCCTTATTTCTTTCCATATCTTAAGTATAGAAATTCCAAGGAAACCAACCCATTATCGAAACACTCCTTATGAGGATAGATGATGTGCATTTGTTCTAAAAATTTGTTCCCGCTGACGCTTTTTGGGGCTATGAGTGTTTTGCTTCGGAGATCCTTGCCTAACCCTGTGAAACCACCCAACTCCTCCAATGTAGGCGTCAACTCAAAATCGCTAAAGCGAAACAGATTGCTTGTAAAATCCCAAAAAAGGATCAAAGCCTCGATCAAATCTCTGTCAGGACTAAATCTTATGATATCTGTGAGGAAACCAAGATGTTTGAATATCTCAGTTCGCCTAAACTCATGCATATCGTTCCACCAAGCCATGAGTAGTGGTAGGGTTTTATCCGTGATCATGAACTTTGGGGGATCATTGGCCATTTCGACTGCTTCATCCCTTGGTCTTTTATCACATCTCATAGATCTCATGATTACCTGGTTAGGAAAAGAAACTCGCGATTTCTCATAGATCTGAAAAATGACTCAGAATGCCTAAAGTGGTCATTCTTTCGAAAACGACTTTTGTTGACCTTTCTTAGGAAAAGCCTAGGTTGTTTTCGGAGAGAATCACCAGATAAGGAGATAATTTTGACAAGTTAATCATGAAGAAGAGAAAGAAAAAGTAATAAAAAGAAGGTGGACATGCACTATCTGAAACAAATTTGAAGACATACATATATTTATATATATATATATATATATATTTTTTTTTGTATATGCATTATTATTATTAATATTATTATTATTTATTTATTTTTATTATTATTATATATATAATATATATATATATATTATTTTTATATATATATATATATTATTTATATATATATATATATATATATATATATATATATATATATATTATTTTTACTTTGTTTATCTTGAATTTTATATATATATATTTATATTTTCACTTTGTTTATCTTGAATTAGTTGCTGAAAATGGGTAAAAATAGACGTTTTTTTTTTAGTCAATTATTTAAAGCCGGTCAATATTTGTTATAGTCTTCCACATGATGCAACAAGTAGCACAAAAATGTACATGATGATCTCAAGAAAAGGTACCCGTCCTAGACAGACCTGGCCCCCATGCCGAGTCTTGCTAAGTTAAATGCACATGATGCAGATAAAACAGAATCTAGTAAGGATATTATGTCTGAAGGTTTCAGTTATACTAAGGTTGAACTTGTGGAGAAAGGTATCTAGACTGGCTGTAAAACGAGCGGACAACTCGAGTTAGGGAGTAGCAACGTACCGGTAGCAGCGCTTTTCGGCTTTGTGCATAGGTGCTCCCTATTCTAAACATGTGTGACTAAAAATCCTTCACTGTGGACCGAAGATCCACTGGCTATCTTGACAAAAGTGGGGTGCGCAGTCGCAATTCCCATAATTGTATTATAGAAGACTCAAAGGGGTGCGCGAGAGAAGACAATTATAATGCAATTCAAATAATATTAAAATAGTAAAAAGAAAAGTAAACACTTAGCACATTAAGCCAACAAATATAATATCCAAAACATAAATGAAGAAATAAATAAATAAAGCCATACACAAGTCAATATTTACAAGCTCGAATTCTGGTTAGTCCCCAACAGAGTCGCCATCTGTCACGCCCCTTTATTTTCAAAAAATTAATTCAAGTCATATATATAGTCAATAAAGCGACCGTGCTAGAACCACGGGACTCGAGGGGTGCCTAACACCTTTCCCTTGGTCAACAGAATTTCTTACCCGAATTTTTAGTTTGCAGACCAATAAAAATAAAGAGTCAAATTTCTTTTTGATTAGGGGTTTAAATAATAAGGTGACTTGGAACACCAAAACTCAATTCCAAGTGGTGACTCTGAATAATAAAATAATCCCTTTTCAAATTATCACTTTAATTGAAGAAACTCTTTTTCTTTCAAAAGATACTTAAATTAATTTTGAGGGAAAATAAAGGGGCGTGACATATACCATACATATTTCACTCTCTTGTTTTAAAAAAAGAAGATATATTCATTTGTTGGCAAAAGTGAAACAAAAAAGGAAGAGAATTGTCTGTTTCCAGGAGAGTCCATTTATGGTATCTTTGATTGTGGTGCATGTGTAAGAATTGGGTATTGCATTAGTAAAAGCTAAGGAGAGTTGGGGTTTGTGTATGGTATAAATAGAGAGCGACAAGTATGGCGGACAGTTATTTGGGACCCTCTCCACTTCTTAAGCCCTCTTCTTTATATACCTTTCCTTTCACTTTTTCCCCATTTTCAGGTTCCCCCAGATCTCTTTCTTTCTCCTTTATGGCCTCTAATTGCTCTTCTGCTCGTCACTGTAATTGCTCCTCTACTAGTTCCTCCACTACCCATCAACCTTCTATTCTTGTTTTCTCAGGTACCTATGTTGCGCGTTTTCCGTTTTTTGTTGGCTAGATTGTTGATTTACTTGCTTAATTGATTGGTGGGGTATGTAAATGTTGAATATTGAAAAGTACCCACAAACCAAAAAGCTCATTTTTATTGTTACTGAGATGAGAATTGGGTATTTTGAATGCTAGTGTTTTTGGGTACTAATTCAGAGGAATGAAGCTTTATGCTGTTACTTGCAATATCAGTTTATTTCTCAATTACATTTTGGTTGTCAGTGCCAAATGTGGGTAGAGAACGTAGGCATTGTTTAGAATTGGCATTTTGTTTTGAAGTTTGAAGGAATTGGATTTTGTCCGGTTAATATGCAATTTCAACTAAAATAATTGGATCATTCCCAGTTCAGCATTTATTTCCTGCTTTATTTTTTTGACATAAAATGTTTGTATATCAACATAGGAAGTAGATAAAGTACCAAGAAAGGTCATTTGGTAGGTGTTGGGGATAAGAAAGGAATTCATATTGAATATATGAATGCCATAAAGATATGTATGAAGGAGCTTGTGGCTAGTGCAAGAATTATAGTTGGAGATACAGAGGAGTTTCCCATAATAGTGGGTTTAAACCAGGTATCAGCATTGACACCATACTTGTAATCTTATAGATGAACTAACTAATACAATACAAGATGAGGTCCTATGGCGTATATTATTTGCTGACGATATTGTGCTAATTGACGAAACCAATGAAGGTGTCCACCAAAGGTTTGAACTATGGATAAATACTTTAGAGAGCAAGGGTTTTAGGATAAGTAGAAGTAAGACTAACCATATGCATTAGAAGTTTAGTTGGCATAAGAAGAGTGAGGTTCTTAAAAAATGTCAAGGAGTGTGTGTCCAATCCTCCAAAAATATTAAATTATTGAAGATCTGACACGTGTGTGACAATATTTTGGGAAGTCTGAGCAACATAGTCTAAAATCAGATGTACGAAAATTGTGTTGGAAGACCTACAATCTCTAGGAATACATGTAGACCTAACCAAAAATAGGGTACAGTGGAAGAAAAAGATTTATACAAGCGATATGAATTAGTTGGGAATATGTTTTTTTCATGTTAGTACATTTACTCTAGGAGTCTTTTAGTCCTGTCAAAGATTTATATGCCAGTAGAAAATTTAATGAACATAGTACTTTTTATTTTTATTTTGTGTAATGTTGGTATGGAATGAGCTTAAGTGTGGCGACATGGTCAGCAAGGATTCATATAGTGGTGGACCTCAAGTTGGTTGATATTGAAGGTGTAGTTGTATTATACATCAAGACTCTTGATGATTACTTTCTGAGAACTTACTACTGCTACAGGTGGAACTGCATTTAATGGTGTGGTTGAAGAGCTTAAGAATCTAACTACACGTGTAGCTCATGTGCTCCCTGTTTCTGATGACGGAGGAAGTACAGCCGAAATTGTTCGTGTTCTTGGTATGGTTAAAAGTTCCAATCCTTTCTATTCTGTATCTTTCCTTTTTGGCACTCTTTATTTGTGTTCACTAAACTGGTGCATCTGAAAATTAGTGTTAGCAGTATTAATAAGACATGACTTCCCCACGTTGTGCTTGTTCTCCTCTTCTTCCTTACCCTGGCAAGTCTTTGTGAAATAACTCCGATGAGAAGAAAAAAGAAGGCACTAATAATAGCACATGACTTCCCCACGTGAGATATATTTGGGTGTGTGATAGTTTACATTTCATTTTAGTTTGCTGTGGACTGATATCTGAAGAGTTACGGTGACTAAATCTTCGTTGGGAGAAGTGCACAACACTTTTCCAACTATAGCTAGTAATGTTTTAGGCCTTCCCAAGAAAAAAAGAGAAAAATAAAGTTTCTTCAGAAAATAAAGTGATGTATGACTGTTGGTTATCTTGCTGACTACAGTTATGTTAATGAGTTTGTTCCCCTGTTTAGCTTTTGCATCATTCTTTACGCATGTTTTCTGGCAACACGAATGAAAGATAGAAAAGTTGACCGTGAATGTTTAGGTGGTCCTGCTGTTGGAGATATACGATCAAGATGTTTGAGATTATCCGACCAAAGCACGTCAGAGGCTCGTGCAGTCCGAATATTGCTTGGTCATCGTTTACCTCTTGATCCACGAAGAGCCAAATCAGAATGGTAGTTAAAACCAGATAGTTTGTGTAACACCTTCCATCAATTCTGTTCATTTTCTCTACAATGCTCTTGGATTCTTCTCCAAAAAGTACTTTGTGGAATTTTTGGCTACAAGTCTTCTTCTTATGCATGCTCAGTGGTAAAATATTATCAACACAGATTAGATGGTTAGATAGAATAATTGCTATGCCATGGTCATGGGTTCCTTGGGCTTATCATGATTTTTCTTATATGATAGCTAAACTCAGGTGGAATATTAACTACAAAATTCTTCAAAGAGGTGAGACAACGGATAGATCTTGAGGAAAGAACAAAAATGTTGGATCTATTTTGGTGCAGATCTGTTTATCTGTGTTTGTGAACTCCTGAACAATAACAATAGCTATAAAATTGAAGGATGTAGAAGAAACCCCAACTGTCAGACAAGGCTGCATATAAATGACCTAGAAGAAATAAAAGATTCATAGTATTAAGAATTAATTCTCAGAAATTTGATAGGAAGAAGATATAAGCTTAGGAAACTACCTAGGTCTTGACTGCTTGGAGTAGTAGCATGCCTACACAAATGTGAATTTTTTTACTAAAATGATGGCATCTTAATGGAAAGACAGAAAGACAGGAAGAAAAAGAAGGAAATAAACAGAAAAAAAAAGAAGAAAAGAAAAACAGTGGTTCCTTTGAGAACCTTTTCATCTTTTAACCGGTTCTACTGAATTCTGTATACCCACTTATACTTGTTAATTGATCATGACAGGTATGAAATTGTGGAGGGCAGCCATAAACTTTGGCAAGATGTCTCAAAACCGTATAGGGAAACTATAAGAGCTTTCTTGGCTTACTTCCAGGATCAGGTTGGTCAATTAGGTACTTCTATATTATTAACTGTTTCGGGTTGTCTTATTGCTTTCTAAGATGCATTATTGCCTTGAAAATTATCTTGCAGAATTTTGTTCTTCTTCCTTAGACGTGGCTGACTTTGTTCTTCATCATTATTATGCTATTTAATTCATCTTTGTCTTTTGTTGATGGATAATCTTTGCATCCAATGCTTATTGCTGCATTAAATAAGTTTATATACATGTAGTATATTTTTCATCAGTTTAGAGGGGGAGTTACATCTTAGGGCACAAGTTGCCAAATTTGGAAAGAATAAGGAGTTCAAGTCCGTATAGAATGGATGACTATACCTAAACTTAGTGGTTTTAAGCAGTGTATTTTAACCCATAGCCCAAACTATCATGCTGTAATTCTGTCATATAAAAGAAGTTCTGATTCTTGTTTATAATTTTATTATCGAGAATAGGTTCCCAATAGCTTCATTGCACCTAATAACACCTACTACTGTCCTAATCTGGATGTCTTTATTATTAGTAGGGTTATATTGACCTCCAGTTTAGATTGCCCCCTTCCAATTAATGATTTTATGATAGGGGACTGGGTTGATCCTAATTGAATCAAACTTCTGCTTATGGCATTTAATGGCCAATGAATCAACCAAACACTTATCAATGGCGGTTAGTTTGCAGCTTGAGTGTATAAATATTCACCTCTTGAGCACTTATACTAAACGGTCAAATCATTAATATTCCTTCAAATTCTATATGTAACCTTATCCAAAAATCAATGTTTCTTTCTATTGTTGTGCCAGCATTCCATGGTGTTGAAATCAGATAATATGGTCGAAACTTTTGAAGCTATTTGCTGGTTGTTGTTGTCAATTGTCATACATAATGATGAAACTTCCACTGGAAGTAAAAGATACTTTATAATTGCTCATTAATTGGGTCTTTTTTTCCCTCTTGAATGGTCGTCTTTAGAAGTTGTTGGCTTTGCTATTGAACCAGCTGTTGTCTCTTTCTGTTTTCAGATTCTCCGGCGTTCAGATGAGCGTTTCTGTTTCAGCAATGGAAGGTATCTTACTAATTGTCTGTATAGCTTAATATTATCCTTTAGTCATTGTTCTGGGTGGTTTATTTTTATCAGCACTTGTAATAGTGACTGAAGTTGGTAACAAGACCTTATTACACTTGCAGTATAGGGAACTTTTTCTTCGCTGGAGCACGCATATTCTTCCAGTCTCTAGATGCAGCAATCTTTTTGTTTTCACGGGTTTCAGAAATTCCAGCAGAAAGTTTTGTTCTTCCCGTGATATCTACAAATGAAAGGCTTACCCTGGGATGTGAGTTATCGGTATGATCTCTATGTTAACAAAAACAATTATCTAACCTCTCCTTTCTATACCTTGACTCTTTAATTATTCTGTTCGGTACCTTCATCATCAGCGCCTTCTTTTATTTTGAGGTTGTATTTTGGTCATCCTTATTTGATATAGACTAGACATAAATAAAGAGTCACAAGGAATCCAGTTCCTCTTAGCATCTAATGCAAATGAGTATGACTGCATGCTTTTGAGCTTCAGTAAGTCGCTTAAATGCATTGATGTCTTTCTTGTGCCAGGAATATCTTGATCACTTTGTGAGGAAAGTATCACACTTCTCAAAAAAATAAATTAATGGATGTAATCCGGTGAAGGGAAAAATATAATTAGACAAGTGTGGCTGAAGATATGGAAAATGAGCGTTTTTGCAAAGATGCAATCATAAGTCCATAAAACTAGGAAAAGATATAACCAAAATGAGGAATGCCCTGTTTATGTTTTCTTATTCAAGTCTATTTTCTAATTGTGTTATGCTTACCTGATAAGGAATTCTCTTTTTTCAGGCTATTCATAATATCAGTTTTCTATTTCCAATTGGTCATATGTGCCTGAAAAGTCACTTGGATGCCTGTTTTGTGCTTGTTAATATTAGGGAATTAAGGAACCTATGCCATCTTCTTTGAGATTCTTTTGATCAATTACATGGCTTCTTATAATCCATAATCTTGGTAAGTTTCTATAATTTGCCTTTAAAGTCATCTTAAACAATGATGTCAAACACTAGTGCTAAATACTAAGAACCATGGCTTGAAAGTTGTTATCAATGAGTAACTTGCAATATAAATTGGATACTGTTTTCATCGGCAAGAATAGCACCTTTCCCAGACCCCACTTGGGGGATTTCACTAGGTATGTTGTTCTTGTAAGAGTAGCACCTTGTAGTTATCTCAGACGTGATGAAGTTGAATTTCTATAGGAATTCAGGATGATGATCCTTCTAACAAACAAGGCTCTGAACAGTAACTGACAAATTTAAAATCTGTTTCCTGTGCTCAAAGTGGTAAACACTGTTTGTTAAGCCATTCAAAATCTCCTTTATTTGTCGATTAGATACAAAAGTTAAAATAATTTAGTTAATGGATAATGGCTTGCAACTACAATTAAAACTTTTCTTTGTTGCATGTAACCAATGTGTAGGATGGAACTGTCATACGCGGACAAAATGAAATATCTCATCCAACCCATGGATCCATGCAACCTATAGACAAGGTATCAAAGCAGTCTGTAATCTTGATGTGTAATGCTTTTTGTTTCTTTTATTATATTTTTCCCTTAAAATTTTCTGGAAACAGATACTACTTGCAAGGTTAATTGTTGTAATTTTATATTCCTAACATAAACTATAATCATGATAAATACAGTCTTCTTAAAAAGGAGTTGCTGTGATCCCTGCTGAAATGTGATATTTTTACCATACCTTGTTATCGTATTTTGTTCTCAGATCAGAAACCCTTAATTTATTTGGATAATCTATCTGGGATATACTTTCGATTCATTTGATAGGTTCAAAACGAACATGGATAAGAATAATTTACTTTCCATTTGCATGTTGTGGATAATTTCAAAGCTTAAGTATGACATGGGCTTTTTAAGGAGACTTGTTTACTTGGGTTAACATACTCTTGAATGATTAAGCCTCATATTTGTGAGACTGCTAAATAACTTGTATAATACCATCTTGTTCTATAGGAGAAAGAGATTGGTAAATGAGATGCTTATGTTATAGAGTATTTTGGATATGCTTTGTACATATGGGCACTTGGGCGTTCTGTATAAAGGGGCCTTGGTATAATAGTTCAGGATGTTAAATTTGATCTAACCGAGTGATTTCAAAGGGTTAAGTTGATGGATTGGCACTTTGGATCGGAGAGATTACTGAGTACCCTGCATATATGTACTAGAGACTGGTGGAGTGATGGTAAATTTCACGAAATAGTCCAAAGCATGGTCATGGCCCTTACCTTTGCTAGATATTTCACTTTTACACTTCTGTTGAATAGTCTGATCTGTGCAACAACACAGTATAGAAAGTCGGGAGATGCAATATAAATCTAGAGTACTTGCTTTCATTTTTTGCTAGTGTGCAGCAGGTTGGTCTTGCTCAACTTAACCAGTTCACTTTTTGAACCTTGTCGGACAGGATGCCTCTTCAGCCCCAGCACTTCCTTCTAGAATAAAACGGATATTCTACATGTCCAGTGAAGGAAGCAACTTATTGCATGAGGTAAATAGGCTTGTTGTTCTTATCAATGAATAGAAAGATGAGACTTGAACTCTGCATGCCTGTATAATAACATGTTTTTTAAAAGATAAGCACTTTCTGATAGGTCGTTAAAGCTAAACCCTCACTTCAAAATGTTGTTGCCAGACGAGGTAGAAGAAATATATTTATCAATCAGTTGTCTCCAATGATTGTCCTTCATCTAAATTTGGATGTTACAAAGAATATCTGCCATATGAGTTTTGGATTGTGAAAGTTCATTCCACATTCCTACTTGTCGAAACTTAAAAGCTTTATGCAACCAAAGAAATTGTTGACAAGATTGTCTCTAAGGGTCCCTTGTCATAAAAAAAAAAAAGATTGTCTCTAAGGGATTACATGTTAATTTTATGCATATTTTCTCCTATAATAAAAGTAGCTAATCTTGCACCTGTGAGATGGTTAAAGCTGCTGAGCCTCAGGGCATTGGTCTAGTGGTTAAAGCGCAACGCATGATGTGGGGGTTGTATGTACTTCACAAGTTTGAACTCTATCACTAATCACATGCATAAGTTTGGTAATTTAAGTGGAGAAGGGTGGCCCATTACCCACCGAGCTTTGAACTGTGCAACTAACTCTCAGGGATTTTTTGGTTATAAAAAAGGTTGTTGAATCCCTTTTACCGTTTTTGAATTTGCTTCTTGTATTGGGAACAAGAATTACTACTGGCGTTCCTAATATCACTGTAAAAGGAAATGTTTTGTATTAGAAAAGGTCAAAATTGAATGCAATAAAACTATGAAGTTCTTAAAGATTAATTGTAATTACAATTTGATCCACCATAGAATACAATAACTAAGGTAAAAACATTGATCAATATTTCATGTTGGATTTTGATGCTTTAAAAATAGTATAAATAGATTAATGAAAAGCTCATTTTAGCTCTATAGTTGATGTTCTGACTGCTGATATTTCCTGGTTCTTTGCCTTTTGTACAGGTCTTCCCCACTGTAAATCCCACTGTCTTGGAACAGTTGAGAAGTGTTGACTGTATCGTATTTGGCATGGGATCCCTCTTTACTTCCATCTGCCCTTCTCTGGTAGAGTAGCATGCAACTTAAGTTCTTCCACATTAGTTCACAGACATGAAATGCTTTGGGTGGTGCTGGGTGCATTATTACAACTCAGGATTTGTTGTTTCTCATTTGATTTCGATATTTATACTGTTCATCCCCCATTGTTAAAGCATGTGCAAGTATCTAGTTTTGTCGAGTCGATCCTGCTTGTGAGACAAACTAAAACAAGTAGGTTGAAGATATACCTAATATTGACAAACTAATTTGTTTTCTTTTAATTGAGTTCATCTTCTCAAGCATGGCATTGTCATCACTCATCACTATTATGTTATCATTCTTCTTCTCATTTTTTTTTTGAAAAGAACGAAAATAAGTACTCAGTGATTTTGCTGCTCCATTTGAAGGTTTTACTTGGAGTGGGGGAAACCATCTCTTCACAGTCTTGTCCCAAGGTAATTTAGGCGATGCAAATAATAACTGTATTGCTGCTTTCTCAGACAAACTGTGTTGTCTGTGCAAATGATTTCCTCGTCTCATTGATGTTTTTCTCATGTGAATGTTATTAATTTCTTCTTCTCCTTCCCCAACAATTCTTCTTCTTAATCCCAGGTACTTCTGTTGAATGGTTCTCATGATCGAGAAACTAGTGGCCTTAGTGCTTCTTGCTTTGTGACTGCCATTACCGATGCCTTAAATCGAACTTATGGAGATCCTCATAATTGTCTTAAAAATCCTGTAAGTACCTAAGCATTTATGCGTTTCTTCTCAAATTGACTAATTGTTATGTATTTTCATTTGTCCACTGTGTGTTGTTATGGATTTTCATTTAATTGGGGTTTTCACTCTCAGTCCTTATGTGTAGAACATGCATCTTGTCAGTTGAATATTTTTCTAATCATTGCCTAGATGTAACTTAAGGAAAGTGATGAGAAATTATGGACTACTCAATATGTTCCCGATTGTGGTTGTAGGATCCTGAATCCGACCCAAAAATTACTGAATAAAGCACACCCTAGTGGCCTAGTTAACAGTCTCAATGTGTGGATGGATCCTTTGATAGCAATGCCAATTGTTCATTCTCAAGCACTTCCACATCAGCAATTTTCCAACTTATTTTGGCATTGGAACTTGGAACTCCTAGTTTGACATCATAGGTCGTGATACTCTGCTAGCTTTGTCAATTGTTCATTACTAAACTATAGCTCATGACAGATGCTTCAGTTAAATTTCATGGGAGCTCATATGATTTGCCATCCCATTTCTCTGATTACATGATCCATACATTGAACCTCATGGAATTATGAGTTCCTTCCCCAAGAGATCAGTACTCATGCTGAAGCATTTATTATATGTGGTTTGCGTTGGTATTTTGGTTCCAATCTTCTATAGCATCGTGTTCATTCCATCTCATAGTGGGCATCCTGGATAGGCTGGCATAAGTATGAGAGTGAGAGTCAAAATTTTATTTTACTTAAATAGAAGTGTGTCTGAAAGTGGGGAGGAAGTTAACTTGATGAAGAATTTGAACTCTCTTCATACATAAGTGTTTTCCTACTGCATCTCATAAGTTAATTTTCGAGTCCTATGGTTCTGTAGAGTCGATGAAAAATGCTACTCCCTTTATCCCAATTGAATAGAAAGAGAGATATAACAAAGAGGAAAAGTGGCTCAAGATGCCCCTCACATTACATATTAGGCTGTAAAGTTCTTCTTGAGAGTATAAATTATTTCATGGATAAACAATGAAAAGTGGGTATCCATTATATTTTGCAATTTGATCAAAATCATTTGGCTCTCATCACTGTAATTTTAATTTGTTTTTAGTTCATTGAGCAACTAGCTGAATGTAACACACAACAGTAGATTTCACATACTTGCACAAACATAACCTTGAATCTCGCCATGAAAATTAAATTTTTTGTTTCTTATGAAGTTATGATGGAATTTTTCTTTTCAGCCAAACAAATATGTCAACACCCTTCTGGTGCCGAAAAACGGCCAAATACCTGTGGATATAGAAAGCTTGGCTTCTCAAGGAATTTTCAATGTGGTATGTTCCTGTTTCATGGTTATTAGAAATGCTTCTTGGTAAATCAATAATGTACTTGATCAGTTTCTATTGGTCATGAGATTTCTCGTTTTAATTTCAAAAACCTAGTGCTCATTTGAAATTCGCAAAGTCGGTCTCATAAATGTCGCTAGATCCACTACATGTGATTGCTTTGCTGGTGATCCTCTTCAATTAAGTTGACAAATGGAGTTCTTGTAGGTCACGGTGGATTCCTTCCATGATTCAAAAGTGGGTGTGCTTTTTGATCCCAAGTCACTGATTCAAGCACTTTCCAATCTGTTGACGGATGAACGAGCCTGAATGCCACTGTGCTCGTTAAACCTTAATTTATCAGAAAATTCAGAGCTTGTGGCACAGTAGTGTTCTGAAGTTTCTCCCTTTTGCACAACTTGCAATGGTATGAAGTTCGCTAATAGGGAGTGCAGTAATCTTGTTTTGTTCATACATCTATCGATTTTCATAATATTTTTAGTGCTGCTATTGCAGGGTCTGAAGAGAAATAGGCTGTTTGTGCGAACTTGTAGATCGATAAACAATTCAAAGACCTCTGCATTGATTTCAACTCCATGAAGTCCGAAGGATGAGGGTAAGGCTTCCATAGTTTCACGTTGGCATTGGCTTAGATCTTATTCAGCTCTTACTGGGAAAGAATATCATTGTTCACAATTGAGCTGAAACACATCTGATGTTTCGTATTTGGACAGAGGTACAGATCAATGAAATTTTTGCCAACCACAGTTTGTTTGGAATTGAAGCGTAATTGCTGTTGTACATAATGGAATTTTCTTTACATCAAGGGCCTTATTTTATAGGAAAATTAAATGTTCTCTCTTTAGAGCAGGGTGTTGAATATTTTCCGTTCCCGTTAAGGGACAAACTGCTGTGATGCCTTTCCTCCTATTTTTTTTTGTTTATTCCGCCAAAAGAGAAGCTTTTGTGATTTGCAAACAGGACAACATAGTGATCAAGTACTCGATCTACTGCTGTATCAGAGTCCAATAGTTCCAAAATTATGGTAATAAAACTTATTAGAAAGTTACAAATGAAAGGTTCATTCATTTGAGGACATCAAACTGCGTGCACAATCCATCTTTGACCTTATTATTATCATAAAATCAGTCTTATCAAATGTAACTTGCCGTGCTTTCCAGGGAATTCAATCATCAATTGAAAATGTTAACATTTGAGTTACCGTAATATAACCACAACGATAGTACTATATATACCATGGTCACTCTAAGCATTTCATCCACAAATTCAAACAGTGTCATATTAGAATAAACAAAAAAACATTTAAGTGGTGAAAAATGGCTTTGACAATGAACTGGAAATCTGCTTTTTTAGCTCTAGTTGTGTTAGGAATGTGGGCTACTGAAGCCACATCCCGTGACTTGAATGAAGCCTCGATGGTCCAGAAACACGAGAAGTGGATGGCTCGCTTTGGGCGTGTGTACAGAAATGATGCAGAGAAGGCAAAAAGGTTCAATATATTCAAGGACAATGTTGATTACATTGAGTCAATCAACAAGGCTGGAATGAGGCCTTATAAGTTGAGCATCAATGGATTTGCAGATTTGACCAATAAGGAATTCAGAGCCACTCACAACGGGTACAAAGCGTCTTCTCATCAGAAGTCATCAAAAACCATATCATTCAGGTACGAAAATGTGACTGCTCCAGGTACCATGGATTGGAGAAAGAAGGGTGCTGTTACTGGAGTTAAGGATCAAGGGCAATGCGGTAAGTATTCAAATTACGTCCTGTTAATAATATCCTCAATTTTTTAATGAAAAAAAAGAATCTTATTAGCATAACCTGATAATATTGAAGGATGTTGCTGGGCATTTTCCGCTGTTGCTGCTACTGAAGGGATCAACGAGATCAAAACAGGTAAGTTGATCTCCTTGTCTGAGCAAGAACTCGTGGACTGCGACACAAGTTCGGATATGGGATGTGAGGGAGGTCTTATGGATGATGCTTTTAAGTTCATCATCAAGAATCACGGGCTTACTACTGAATCTAATTATCCATACGAGGGAACGGATGGCACTTGCAAAACCGGAAAGGAATCCAATGACGCTGCTAAGATTACTGGTTATGAAGATGTCCCAGCCAACAGTGAATCTTCTCTGTTGAGTGCTGTTGCTAACCAACCTGTATCAGTTGCCATTGATGCTAGTGGATCAGATTTCCAATTCTATTCTAGTGGTGTTTTCACTGGAGAATGTGGAACTGAATTAGATCATGGTGTGACAGCAGTTGGATATGGAAAAACTAGTGACGGGACAAAGTATTGGTTAGTCAAAAACTCGTGGGGGACTAGCTGGGGTGAGAGCGGTTACATTAGAATGCAAAGAGGCATTGATGCTAAGGAAGGAATTTGTGGAATTGCTATGCAAGCTTCTTATCCAACTGCTTAAATAGCTGAAAAGCTTGATGGGGGAAGTTGCTATGTATTCATCTTCAAACACTATTGTTATTCACCTTGTTCATAGATTATGTGGTACTGTGTATATATATGTAAATTCTAAGTGTTAAACAGAACTTTGTATGTGAAAAATATTTCAGCATTCAGCAATGAAGTGTAGACATAACTTCTTGCAAATCTTTTGTCACCACTTGATTCAAAATAAGCAACTTTGTCTAGACAAAGAAACTAACTAGCAGTAAGTAATGTTGTTGAAGATTAGAGGACAGGGCACTTTGTTTTTGATAAAAAAAATTCTACTCGTTTGCCTCCAAATGACAGTACAACGAGCTATATATGTAACTCGTGTAAAAAAAGACTTGTACACTCGTAGGCTCCAGTTCATTGAATTTCAGTATTAATTAGTTATCCAAATATGACATGTTCTCTAAACTAGATCCACTCATTCTTGTTTCCAGCAATTAACCTACTGATGTAGTCATTAGCCTATCCCGTACTACTCGAAAGCCTTCCAAAACTCTGTTTAAATTCATGAAATGCTGTACCTAGAAGATTCAGTCCTGCATTTGCATGTTTTAAGATGGAACTACTACTCATCACAAATATACACACAAAAATGGGCGTCCAATCCAAATATTAAGCAAATGAGGATAGTAGTGTAATACACAAACACCCTAAGTTTTTGTGTATTAGGTGATAGTGTGTTTGTTATGAAATCTCGTTCTAGTTTTCAGATTTGTCCAACTTTCAAAGAGTACCTTGAATCTCTGTCATCAAAATCAAAATTTTAGTTCTGGTGCCGAAAGATGGGCAAATACCTGTGGATATAGAAAGCTTGTCTTCACAAGGAATTTCAATGTGGTATATTACGTTCCTGTTTCACGGTTATTAGAAATGCTTCCCGGTAAATGAAAAATGTACTTGATCAGTTTCTATTGGTCATGAGATTGCTCGTTTTAATTTCAAAAACCAAGTGTTCATTTGAAATTTGCAGAGTCGGTCTCATAAATGTTGTTAGATCCACTACTTGTAATTGCTTTACTAGTGATCCTCTTCAATTTAGGTGACAAATTGAGTTCTTGTAGGTCAAAGTAGATCCTATCCATGATCCAAAAGAGGGTGTGCTTTTTGATCGTAATCTTGCTGTGTTCATACATCTATTTCCCGTCTTTCAAATGATTCACCACGCCTTTTGCAGCAATTGCAGTGAACTTGCAAACCGAACTCTTTAGTAATTCATTCTTGCACTGCAAGGAAAGAATGAAACTAGAACCAGCCTGATGCCGTACATGGAAATATTTTCTTTTCCCGTTGAGTAAGGGGCAAACTGTTGTAATGCCCTCTCTTCTATTTTCCTCCTTTTTTTTCTTGGTTTCCCACATATTCAGTATCCATTTTGGGGCCTAATTAATCTGGATTCACTCTAGGAAATGGGTTCAAACCCGAGACCTTTTGGTTAATGATAGAGGTGTACTTACCACTCCACAGTAACCTTTGGTGTTTTTTGTTTGTTCCTTTTCCTTATCACATTTAAGCCAAAAGGGAAGGTGTTTGGGATTTGCAATGAGGACAACATAGTGATCAAGTTCTCCACTGCTAAATTAGAAAAAATTTCCTTGTGCCAATATAGGAGCTTTGTTAGTGCTAATAGTTCCAAAATTATGGTAATAAAAATTATTAGATAGTTACAGATGAAAGGTGCATTGCAAGGTAATCAAATGAGGACATCAAACTGCATTCACAACCCATCTTTATAACTTGCCGTGCTTTCCAGGGGATTCAATCATCAATTGAAAATGATAACATTTGAGTTACCTTAATTTATAACCACAATCTTAGTACTATAACTACCATGGTTACTCTAAACATTTCATCCACAACATTCAAACAGAGACATACATTAGAATCAACAAAAAATTCTAGTGGTGAAAAATGGCTTTGACAATCAATTGGAAATCTGCTTTTTTAGCTCTACTTGTGTTAGCAATGTGGGCTATTGAAGCCACATCTCGTGAATTGAACGAAGCCTCGATGGTCCAGAAACATGAGATGTGGATGACTCGCTTTGGACGTGTGTACAAAGATGATGCAGAGAAGGCAAAAAGGTTCAACATATTCAAGGACAATATTGATTACATTGAGTCAATCAACAAGGCTGGAATTAGGCCTTATAAGTTGAGCATCAATGGATTTGCAGATTTGACAAATGAGGAATTCAGAGCCACTCACAACGGGTACAAAGCGTCATCTCATCAAAAGTCATCAAAAACCACATCTTTCAGGTATGAAAATGTGACTGCTCCAGCTACAATGGATTGGAGAAAGAAGGGTGCTGTTACTGGAGTTAAGGATCAAGGGCAATGTGGTAAGTATTCAAACTAGGTCCCGTTCAATGTTAATAATATCCTCATTTTTTCAGCGAAAAAGAATCTTATTAGCTTAAGCTGATATATTGTAGGATGTTGCTGGGCATTTTCTGCTGTTGCTGCTACTGAAGGGATCAACGAGATCAAAACTGGTAAGTTGATCTCTTTGTCTGAGCAAGAACTCGTGGACTGCGACACAAGTTCAGATATGGGATGTGAGGGAGGTCTTATGGATGATGCTTTTAAGTTCATCATCAAGAATCACGGGCTTACTACTGAATCTAATTATCCATACGAGGGAACGGATGGCACTTGCAAAACTGGAAAGGAATCCAATGACGCAGCTAAGATTACTGGTTATGAAGATGTCCCAGCCAACAGTGAATCTGCTCTGTTGAATGCGGTTGCTAACCAACCTGTATCTGTCGCCATTGATGCTAGTGGATCAGATTTCCAATTCTATTCTAGTGGTGTTTTCACTGGAGAATGTGGAACTGAATTGGATCACGGAGTTACAGCAGTTGGATATGGAAAAAATAGTGATGGGACAAAGTATTGGTTAGTCAAGAACTCGTGGGGGACTAGCTGGGGCGAGAACGGTTACATTAGAATGCAAAGAGGCATTGATGCCGAGGAAGGACTTTGTGGAATTGCTATGCAGGGTTCTTATCCAACTGCTTGATGAAATAGCTGAGAAGTTTGATGGGAAGTTGCTATTGATTCGTCTTTAAACACTATTGTTATTCACCTTGTTCATAGATTGTGTGGTGTGTATACTGTGTATATGTTACAAACTCTTTGTTTGTAAATTCTTAGTGTTAAACAAAAGTTTATATGTGAAAATATTTCAGCATTGAACATTGAAGTGCACTTATATCTTCTTGCAAATCTTTAGTCACGACTTGACCTAAAATAAGCAATTTTGTCTAGACACAAAAATTAACTAGCAGTAAGCAATGATGAAGAAGATTAGAGGACACTTTGTTCTTGCCTCCAAATGACAAGTACAACTTGCTATAGATGTAACTCATGTCAAAAAAGATTTCTACATTTCATTGAATCTCAATATGACATGTTCTCGAAACTAGATTCACTCGCTCTTGTTTCGAACAATTAACCTATTCTAGAGCAAGATTAGCCTATCCTGCACTACGAAGCCTTCGTAAACTTTGTTTAAATTCATGAAATGCTGTACCTAGAAGATCGAATCCTGCATTTGCAAGTTGGAAGATGGAACTACTACTCATCATAGACACACACGCATACAAAAATAAAAATTAAAAAGGTCACCCAATCCAAAGGGATAGTAGTATAATACTCAAATACTTAATCTCGTTTTTTCAGATATATACAACTTTCAAAGAGTACTTGCACAAACAGTACCTCGAATCTCTGGCATGAAAATCAAAATTTTAGTTTCTTGTGATTGACAAATATACATCGACACCTTTCTGGTGCCGGAAAATGGCCAAATACCCGTGGATATAGAAAGCCTGGCTTCACAAGGAATTTTCAATGTGGTTTGTTACGTTCCCGTTCATGAATATTAGAAATTCTTCTAGGTAAATCAACAATGTACTTAATTTCAAAAACCAAGAGCTCATTTGAATTTCGCAGAGTCGGTCTCATAAATATCATTAGATCCACTACTTGGGTGTGATATGTGTCTTTATGTTCTTGTGCTCCTGGCTTATACTTTCCTTTGGTATGATTTTCGCCTTTCCATGTGTAACCAAGAAAACCATTGAATTTCTAAAATGCATGACTAGTTAACTGATTCCCTTCTGAAGAGCCCATATATATGTGTGTGTAACAATCTGAGCTTTCCAAATTGCTTCCCTTCTAATAAACTTGCCATCTTTTAGTTTTTTGCATCCTCGAGAATTAAGAAAGAATCCATTCTGTGTCTTAGAAATGTGAACTCTTTAGTAATTCATTTTTGCACTGCTAGGGAAGGACGGAAACTAGAACCAGCTTGATGCTGGTGGATAAGTACTTACCACTCCACCACAACCTTTTGATGTTTTTGTTTGTTCCATTTCCTTATCACATTTAAGCCAAAAGAGAAGCACTTTTGATTTGCAAAAAGGACAGCATAGTGATCAACTTCTCCACTGCTAAATTAGAAATTTTTTCCATGTGCCAGTAAAGGAGCTTTGTTAGTGCTAATAGTTCCAAGATTATGGTAATAAAACTTGTTAGATAGTTACAAATGAAAGGTTCATTGCAACACAATCAAATAAGGACATCAGACTGCGTACAGTACAATCCATCTTTATTATCATATAAAAATCACTCTATAACTCTTAACATATATCACTTGCCGTGCTTTCCAGGGAATTCAATCATCAATTGAAAATAATAACATTTGAGTCACCTTAATATAACCAGAATGATAGTAATATAAATACCATGGTCACTCTAAGCATTTCATCCACAACATTCAAACAGGGACATATATTAGAATCAACATAAACATTTAAGTGGTGAAAAATGGCTTTGACAATAAATTGGAAATCAGCTATTTTAGCTCTACTAGTGATAGGAATATTGTGGGCTAATGAAGCCACATCTCGTGACTTGAACGAAGCCTCAATGGTCCAGAAACACGAGAAGTGGATGGCTCGCTTTGGGCGTGTGT